TATATACTAAAGTTATTGAAAAACATTGAATATTATACAGATGGATCACTGGCTAACCAGACTATAGATAATAATGACCTTTTACATAGAGCAGATAATAATACTGTAGATTTAGGAAGGACCCCGAAGAATACATATACAACTCAGATCCAGACCCAAAATTTTAATATAACTTTATACGCCTAATTTTATTAGAAGCTTTATACAAAATCATCACATAAGTTCAAATTTTATTATAAATTATACAATTATAAATCTGAGTTTATATAAAAAAAAAATTTCTAAAGAAAAATTTCAAATAAATTTTATTGAAAATTTTAATAAATATTATTAAAAACTATTTAAAAATTTTAACAAATACTTAAAAAATTTTTTTAAAAAAAATTATTAAAAAAAATTATTAAAAAATAACTTAAATAAAATTTTTAAACAAAATTGCATGTTAAAATTTTAAATACCCGATAGATATTGATGCCCAATATGTATAATATAGTAAGTTTTATGCAAAAATTTGGGTGTATACTACAAAATAAAAGAAAATACATTTTGTTATATATCTCACCACCCAGTGATCGTAAATAGATGAAACACAGCTCGTTGGATTCGTCTTGACAAGACGAATCGAATGGTAGTAGTTTCGTGTTTCTAGGTGTGATAGATGATGAGCTATACCACACATCGGCACTTTGTATTTTCGTCTACTGTGCATTTTTACATTTTATCACATAACTCGGCATCTATCGCGCCTAGAAATATGAAACTACCACCATTCGACTCATCGTATTGAGACGAATCTAATAAGCTGTGTTTCATTTCTCTATGATCACTGGATGCTGAGATATATAATAAAATGTATTTTTTTTAATTTTGTAAATGAATTTTAAAAAAATTTCTTCATTTTTATTAAAAAAATGTCTTTAAACTAACCCTTAAAAACTTCTTAAACAAAAAACAATTTCTATTAAAAAATATTTCAAGTGTTTTTTAAAACAAATAAAAAAACTCTTTATTAAAAAATATCTTAAAAATTTCTTAAACAAAAAATAAAAAAAAACTTTAAAAAATTTATACAAAATGAAAATCTTACTTATTGTAAAAATCATTATTGTTATACAAATAAAAATCTGACTTTTTGCGTAACTGCTATTTGGTTATACAATTTCAAACATATGACTTATTAAGAAATTACATAGTAAGTTTATACAAAATTGGATCCCAGTATTATATGTATTCTTCGGGGTCCTATTTAGGAGCAGCATTCTATACAAGTAATAAATTAGGAGAATTTTCAGTATATTTATGTTTATCTTTATGGCCATCATCAACCAGAGTAGAAATAGTAGCTATTTTTTTGGCATTGTTGACAGCATCAGAAAATTCTAATGTAACTATTTATACAGACAGCTTAGGTGCTATTAATTCAATTAATTCAACTTTTAATTCAACAACTAGAACATGGCTTAAAAAGACCAATAATCTAATCATTATTAAAATAATTATGCTGATCAGAGAAACATCTATAAATTTAAAATTGGTTAAAATAAAAGGTCATAGTGGCATAATAGGCAATGATATAGCTAATAAATTAGCAAAGAAAGGACAATGTGAAAACAATTTATTCAGGAATAATGTAGATTTTATTAATAATATATTATCTTATTTCCCTGTTTTTATAGATAAACCTATTGAAGTTAATATTAGAAGATTTATTTTGAAAATATTAGCTACAGGTGAAGCTACTGAATGGTCATTGTTAAAAAATAATCAGGAATTATATTATGAAGATGTTAATCAAATAGACTGGAAAATTACTTGGCTTATTTTTCATTATTGCAAGGGGTTTCACTACAATAGTATGAAAATCAACTATTTATGAACTTTTATAGCAAAATTATTTCATAAAATCCTTCCATTAGAATCCATTTTAGTAATAAGAAAACCAAAACTCTACAAGGAAATGAAATGTATTATGAAATGTAATAAGAAGGAAAATTGGAATCATTTATTTGAATGTCAGGCATATGAGATAGCTTGGCAAAAAATATTGGAAATTACAACAAAAGAATCTATAATTATATGTTTAAAATAAAAACAAATTAGATGTCAAGGTGAAGATTTTATTAGAAAAGTATTACAAAATATATTAGGAATTACAGCAAAGTCAGAAAAATTTCAAAAGTTCCAACATTTGGCATTAGAAGTAAAAGTTAAAACTTGTCTAACAATAAGATTATAAAAAGACTTTAAGATATCTTGTGCTGAGGCACAGACACTTATGGCCAACATTTTAATTCGATTCAAAAAATTAATATGGATACCAAGATGTAAACAAGTTATTTTATGGGAAAAAAGAGAAGGTATTTCTTGAACAGATAAAATTACTTCAGAATCTAAAGCAAAAGACAATTCAAATCAACTTTCTGAATTCAAAGTAAAGGACAATTCAAATCAACTTATAAAGATTTACAAATAGGAAAAGTAGATCAATTACAAAAATCAGTCTCTTTGGTAAAGAAATCTATGAACACCTTTGTAAGAAAATACATATGTGAAGATTAGATTCCGATAAAAAAGAAAGTTGATAAGATTACATTATACATGAGCAAAAAATTATTGGAATAATAGATACAAAAATAATATTTTTATTCTTTTCTCATTTATATTTATTTTTATTTATAATTTTAAACATATAAGTTATTAATTATTGTTAATTTTAATTTTATTTTTAATTTTGTTTTTGTTTTTCTTTTAATGTTTTATTTTTGTTTATACTTTTAGATTATGGTATATTATTTTGCTATGCTTTTTGGTTACTTTTATTCTTAATTTTAATTTTATTGGTAATAGTAATATAATATTTAATGTTTGATCAGACTGGCTTGAAGCTGAAAATATAGGATCCCGGATATCTAATATAAAGGTCATAATGGACTTTTGGCCAAAAACACTCCTTTTTGCTGAAACTCAAAAAATCGTTTTTTGTAAATATCTCAGCATCCAGTAATTCAATTTTAATGAACTTTTTTTTATTTTGTAGCCCTCATTTAGCTCTACAATTTAAAAAAAGGTTCATCAAAATTGGACCACTGGATGCCGAGATATTTACAAAAAACGATTTTTTGAG